CAACACACGAGGCTCTCTTGTGCGTGCTTGAATATATTTTCATGGGATAAGGAGAACTTTTGATGTGCTGAATCTGCTGTCGGTAATGCGGGATAGTTTAGGCGCAGGGGTTGTCAGGAGGTCATCTGGTCTGAACCTGGCTCAAAGCAGCTTCAGAGGATATGCTTAACAAGATCCTGGATAACCCACTTCTTGCCCTCAGCTTCGACTGTTTAAAAACCAGGGTCCAATCCATCGACTCGTATGGGATATTTCTTCTTTGTGCTTTGCTGGGTTGCAAGGAACAACCTAACTCGGATGCTTTGTTGGAGGAAAAACCACAGATACACCTAAAGCAAATCACTTCAAACCCTTCAGTGAAATTTGTCAATACTTTGAGCAAGAAATGCTGAATGCAGATTTTGGGAAGAAAACAAAAGAGCAAAGGTCACCAGTCAGTGTGAGCTTTATTGAAAGACCTTGGGGTTTTTAATGTTGGAAATTTCTAAGCGCATATTCCTACTAATTAAAAGGCTTTCTGATGAAAGGGAAAAAAATATCCTGTGCTGTTGATGTAGATAATCTATGGATACTTATTTCTTTTATCTGTCCTCCAAATCTCTTTATATCTTAAACTGAAAGCTTGTGCATAATAGCACTTGGAAAGTGTCTTTTATTATTGCTTCAAGGTATGTTTTGGAAAGAAAAGCCAAGATCCAGCTCTTTTAGCTTCTTGCCATGATTTATAGACTACAGGTAGTGGTCTGCAGACAGGTTGTGTAGTAATGACCTGGGAAGGCTTAGCAAAATCTTCATGCAGTTGAAGACAAGAAAGCACATGGGAGACGTGGAAGAGCTCGAGGGGACAGGGCGGTTCTGCCAGGGAATTATGTCTGGAAGATCTTTGGTGCTTTCTGAATAAGGCGTGTGTTTCTGTCTGCCTCTCCGACCTGCTTTCTTCTGCTGAGGTGGGCTCAGATCATCCGATGAGCCTGGGGTGGCATCACCCTGCTACTTCTTGTGCAACTGTGCTGCAGTCTGGGAGTGTCTCTGGGGCTGCCTGTGGTTCCAAAGCCATGGTTTCACCATCTCTGGGAAAGGAGAGGTTGTGAATATCTTCCGATGTGGTCACCTGCGTAAGAGGCTGTAAGGACCTCCCCAAGTTCAGTTCCATTTGAAGTAGGGGGTTGAGCTCCCACCTTAGGAGTTTTTCGTGCATGTGGATGATGCAGTGCTGCTGCCAAAGGAGCTGCACTGGGGAGCCACATGCGATTGGAGGTCCACCATCACTGAGATCTTTTCCAAAGTACTTTTTCATCTACTCTTGGGTGAGAATTAAGAACAGCATTGATGGGTCTGCACCCTGTTACTGAAAGTGGAGCCTGCAGAAGGGTGTGAGAGCTGGGCAGACCCTCTGTGACACTCTCAACTCTCCAGCCTCTGGTCGTTCAACACCTCCAGGACTTTCCCAGCCAGAGATGGTGTCTGTCTTATGAGTACCCACTACGGGTGTCCGCTCTGTGACACGGCCAGTCTTTCCTTGAGCTCACGCAGACATTTAGCATTCACAACATTCTGTGGCAAGGAGCTAAACCACTTAGCTGGGTCGTGTGTGAAGAAACTGCTGTCTCTGATTTGGTTTTGGACTTGCCACCTGCTACTTTTCTTTCTTGCCCACTTGTTCTTACACCGTGAACAAACTGCTGCTGCTTTTGTAGGCTGCTGGTGTGTCCCTTCTTTGTTACCTCTTGTCTGGATTGGGAAGGGTCTCTGCTCCAAGTTTGTGTTTGGTGATTAAAGATGAGCAAGGTCTTTGCTTGTAATCACGTTGGTAAAAGATCTGTATCTCGTGTCCTTCGCTATCTGCAGCGTTCAGAGTCGGCGTGAGCCTGAGTCGCAGTGGCTTTTGCTCATGGCTTGCAGGAGGATGAGTAATGTAGGGCGCAAGAACTGCTCCTTCTGGGATTTCAGTGCGAACACGTGATGAACGATGATCTAGTTATATTTTCTGACTTGTTGCTTGGCCAATTATTAATCTATTTAATATATTCCACGTTATGTAACGTAATTCCAGTTACTTGAGAAATCATACTTTACAAAGTTAAATGATTTACTGAGCTCGAAGTACGTTGCGTCAGAGCTGTTGCAGTTTGAAGCCAATCTTGTAGTCTTAATAAAAACCCATACAATTAAGACCTATGTGTCGATAGACATCAGTTATTTACTTCCTATAACTCCTAATTAGATTTTTATACCAGCATTTTTCTTTTCCTTCTGGGTTGTAAACTGGACTGATAGCTTGTAATTAGCCCGGTCGTTCTGCTCATGTGTTTAAAATATTGACGCAACAGCGTGTCCTTCAGTGCTCTCAAACCTTCCAGGTTAACCCTTGCAGGAAGCTACGAAAAACGATCCAGAGGTTTTCTTGTCCAGCTCTTTTAGAGTCCCTGGGATGCTGTTGAAGATCTCCTGACTTTTAAACGACTGGCTCAGTTGGCTGTTGTTTCACATCTGCCTGTTTGGAATAGAAAATGTTTCCTGTGACATGATTATACCATCTGGTTTCTTTCTTAATTAATGAACAGAAATATTTGCTGCATTCTTCTGCTGTTCCTATAATATTGCTGGTGGTTGTTCTGTTTCTGTGCAGTAATGGTCCTTGGCCATTGCTGGAATTAACTGTTCCCAGGTAATTTTTATGACCTGTGAGTATTGTGGTTCCTCTCACTGCATTTTGCTTCTTTTGCGTTTTCATAGCACTAAATGTCTGATGTATTTTAATATCCCAACAGTTTAGCTGTCCTTCTCTTTGTTATATACATTTTTTTATCCTGATTGTTGCTTTCCTTTTCATGAGAGCCAGGTTGAGAACAATTATTTTATTTGTTTTAAATAGAAACTTCGTCCCTTTTTAGTTTTGGGAGCTTAACAACGCCCCCCCCCCCCCCCCCCCCCCCCCCCCCCCCCCCCCCCCCCCCCCCCCCCCCCCCCCCCCCCCCCCCCCCCCCCCCCCCCC